TGGTGGTGATGTGTTTGAATGTGTCCGTCCCTTACAGTCAGTGGTGGCTCGGGGCCTTCTTAACAGTCTTCAGGAGCAGGCAGGATACCTCCCCGTCTACATTAACTTCTCGGCTCAGACCTCATCCGCCCGCACACAGGAGATCATTGAGTCCAAACTGGAGAAAAAGAGGAAAAACATTTGGGGTACTGACTCGCAGTTGCATTACCACACTCATATACTGCAATGTAGAAAGTCTGTGCTAAAACATGTATTGTTATTGGCATTAAATGAGATAGTTTATCTGTTCTTCTAGTGATCCATTCATCTGTTCATACAAAGTGTTCATGATTCTGCTTTTTCAATCCATCGACATACAGTATCACCCTTTCTTGCCATTTGTCCATCTTTCAATCTGTACATCTGTTAACCTTTTCCTCCTCCTCCTCCCCTTTTCCCTCCCTGTAGGTGCTCCTGGTAACAAGAAGTTAGTGGTCTTTGTAGATGACCTGAATATGCCTAAACTGGACAGTTATGGCTCTCAGCCCCCCATAGAACTCTTGCGTCAATTCCAGGACTTTTCTGGCTTCTATGACAGAAACAAGTTCTTCTGGAAGAAGATCCAGGTATGGATATATCTATAAATACTGTAAGATGAGGTACAATAAGATGCCTTTGACAGTAATGAGTTATGTATGTGCATTCATCTGACTTTGGCTGCATATAGTTCAGTAGATGGCTGTTATAGAGTCCTACGTATAGCTTGTGGCTGTCCCTTTAATGAGTCTAATTACAGACGAGTAAACATACCCTTCAGTATTCAGTTTGCTGTCTGGTGAGAGTTAGCTGTCAAAAGGACAGGACCACTGAAGTGCTGCAGTTACTGCGCTCAGCTGCTAATTGGTCAGACTAGCTACAATCTGAATCTAAGTGCTGACTAAGACCCAATTCTAGTTTCCTGTTTCTACAAATGTAAACACAGAAGATACACCCTGCATTTGCCACAGACAGGTCATACACATACAAACAGCATATTGTAGGCAGTAAGTACATTTACTCAGAGTTATCAGAAATGGTTATATTCAGGAAGAGGTGTGTGTGTGGTTTTGATCTGGAAACAAACTTATTATTTAATTCATTACACTTGTGTTTTCATTCACACACTATTCAACACATGTATCCTCCTGTGCAGTGCATTCTTTTAAGCCATGACATTTCAAGATCAGGAAAAGAAAGTGTCCACAATCTAACAGCTGTTTTCTTACTGACCAAAGCCAGAATCAGTGCAGCATAAAGCAGCATAAGACTCCTGTAGAAGGAGAGACCTGCCCTCACAGACATTCTGCCTATTTCTCTAACTCCCACTGATGCTTCATGAGTATCTTAATTACACTGGCAACATGCAACTTATTTTTTTGTTTCCCTTATGGATCTGTTTAATCTAAAGAAATGCTAATATAGTTACTTAATTATCTACTGCTTTCCAGATGCTGAAGTGTCATAGTAGTAGAAATATTCTTATTATTTACCAATCAAAGTGGATTAAGGGGGATCCTTCTAATGTTTAGATGAAATGAATATACCTAAAGATAGAGAGAAAATGCAGCTTACCAGAAGGCTATTCATTTACATTGATCAGTCCAATAGAAATTGCTTCTCATCTTTAATGACTGGAATCTCCTCCAGCTAGATGCTAAACATCTGCTACGACGTGCATCGAAGTACAGAGTACAACTACTGAACCAATAGATTAGTATATTAAATGAAAATGAATTGATGCTGATAGTCATTGAATGGCTTCAGTAATCTTTCAAACTGCATCTGGTTCCAGCTTCTCAAATGTTTCCCATGATTTCTTATGTTTGATGTCATTGTGAATTGACTTTTGTTTAGGTTTTGGACCATTGGACAAATGTTTTTATCTTCCTACTCCAGGACATGACCATTGCCGCAGCGTGTGCTCCTCCGGGAGGGGGGCGCAATCAGGTGACCCCCCGATTCATCCGCCACTTCAGTACGCTGTGTCTTCCCACGCCGTCGGAACTCAGCCTCAAGCAGATCTTCAAAGTGAGGAGACGCAAACACATCCACACACAACGACTCCTTTGAGAGAATGAGCTTTAAAGTGACTTGGATTGAGAATATATCACAGACAGGCTGTTACTTTTCCAACTTGTACACACCGGCAGGCCGTCGGTGAGCGTCAGTCGCTCTAGTTTCTGCAGTGTGTCGCGCTCCGTTGGCACTCTGATTGCCTTTTCAGCCTCAACAAATCAGTGCACGTGAATGGAAGTGCGGAAAGGATGCAAATGTCTGGAGTCAAAAGGGAACACACATAAGGTTCTTCTCATTTTTCCTCTTCATCATCATCATCAGTACACAAATATTTTCACAACAGTCTGCAATGCAGCTAATTGGTGATCCAGAGTGTTGTGAAAATGGGAGTTAAACTCTGCTTTGTTGCATGTATGTATCATAACAACGGCTTTTATACCTGCAGTACCACGTCGTCCAGTTTCCTTTTTTGAATGACAAATATAGATTACAGCCACCTGCTGGTGTGGAGCATTGGCAGGAAACGTGTTTGGCCGCTGGCTGAAGTCTTTGCTGTGTGTTTAGGTGCAACTTTAGGCAGCGCTTTGTCGCTGCTGGTTTGGTGCGTCTGGGCCTTTAGACATCACGTTAGCTATTATTATATTAGTGCTTTTAAACCTTTGCTTCAAATTACAAACAAAATGTATTGTTGAGAAACTTAACTTATCATTTGCTATCTGGTTCAGGAAAGGTGGCCAGAATGTATTGTGTACGTGTACTTTCTATGATAACTGACGCTCTATCACTCTCATGCATCCAACTCACCCAACTCTCCACAATTCATCACACATCACTTCCTCCAGGCCATTCTGAGCGGTTTCCTGACTGAGTTTTCCCAAGCGGTGAAGAACTGTGCTGGTCAGATTGTGGATGCGGCTGTGGAGATTTACACCCGCTTGAGAGTTGATCTGCTGCCTACTCCAGCTAAGTCCCACTATGTCTTCAACCTCCGGGACCTCTCCAAGTGTGTCCAAGGTGAGACAGACACAATCACATACAGATCATCGGACACTCACCACTGCTAACGACGACTAACAGCCTTGAGCCAGCTTATGGGCTGGGCAGTTGTGGACACCCAAACTGACTTCTCTTTGGCAGCTTTGCGGTTCATAACTTGGGCTAACCAGCAATCTGGCCACATTCGATTTAATTGAGAACATATTGATTTTATATTTTAGCAACAGAAATATGAGAGAGAAAAGGACAACATGCTATAACACAGGAAGAGTTATAAGGCCTGAAGCGATTAGTTATCATTAAAGGTGCATTTTAATATGAGGTATGCTCACACCTCTCTTTTCCTCAACAGCACAAACTAAGCTTTGCTGAAAGAGACGGACAGATACAGAGAGTTCTTTAGTCTAGCAACATTTATAAGCTCTGTCTCAGCCCCATGCTCCCACATCGTCTCTCTTCCTTTACGCAGCAGGCATCATTACGGCACAAAGACGAGCTGAAGTGACTTCTGTGACTGCTTTCTGTACACCACTTGTTCAACATTGCTCGTGTGAATTACTCAAACACACAGTTCCCTCAGCAATGCATGTTGTTAGTGAGCAGTAATAAACGGACACCCACTCCTCCCATGTTTTTTATTTCAAGACAGTTTGTTTAACAGTATGTTACACACTCTTCAGAAATATACTGTAGGTTGTTCAGAAACACTTCGTTCAGAGATATACTTGCTTTTTAGTACGTGTTTGCGAATCCTGCATTCGTTTGGAGCGATGGTTGTGGATGTTCTCAGAAATTAAAGCTGCACATCGGCAAGATGCAATACGCACATGAATGGTAGGGGCATTGGAGTGGCAGTATGGCGATGTGACATGCTCAGGGGTCAGGGGTCAGTAGGCACATCGGTAGCTTCAACAAAGGGCGTTACGTTTTGAAGACAAGCGAATATTATCCACATCTGCACAGTGACATTTAAGCTGCCTTCTATACGGTCTGAGTTCTCTGGTGTGGCCTCTAGTAGAATTCTCCAGTAAAACTCATTGTACACAAGTACTTGAACAGTTACGTTCACGGCAGAGCCAGTTGTCTCCATGAAGGCGTGATTAAGAAGCAAGTATATCTCCGACCTCATGAGACAATACAGTATGTCTGTACTTTAACCTTTTGCTCCTGTGTATTAATTAAACTGAACAGTTATCCATTCCATATATCTTCTTGTGAACCTCTCTCCATGTTCAGGTATGTTGCAGTGTGAGCCGAGTAAAGTGAGACACAAGAGCCAGATCTTCCGTCTCTTCTGCCACGAGTGTCGGCGAGTGTTCCACGATCGACTAATCAGCAACCAAGATAAAACCTATTTCAACACCATCGTCTCTGAAATGTCAAGTAAGAACTGACTCTCAAAGACCATCGCAATAATAACTCACTCTGCTAAAGGCACGAACTGCTTGAATGGTGCACATGTTGGAGCACTATGCGTCACTCTACCCGTTTCCTACTTATTATGCATCTCTGTCAACACCCCTCCTCTGACCCTCTCTTCCTTTCTGCCAGGCAAATATTTTAGCATTAACTTGGAGCCGTCATGCTTTGTGACTCAGCCGATCATATTTGGGGACTTCATCACGGTCAGGTTCTCTCTTCTTATCAAAACCACCGGATGTCTATGTTAACGCCGAAATACATAACAACCTGTATTTATTCCCGTTTCTCTCCATCTAATGATCCCCGTAGGTGGGTGCAGAGAAAGAAGATCGTCTGTATGAGGATCTGAGAGATATGGGAAAGATTCAGGCCGTTCTCCAGGACTACCTCCATGATTACAACAAGACCTTCTCCAAGGAGACCAAGCTAGTGTTCTTCCAGGATGCCGTCGAGCATCTTTCCAGGTGTGTTTATGTCAACTTGCACAGTTTTAGCCGAGGATAAAACTGAGAAAAATTCGTCATTTCAATCAACATGGCGGTTCGTTTCATCTGGTCGGCTGTCAATGCCGTCATATACCCTTTGTGCATGCGTCAGCGCTGTGGTTGTCTGCCAGAAGCTGCCATAAACTGACTTTTATCCAGTTTTGAGCCCCATTTTTATGATAAACTTTTTAGATTTTGGTCCTTTTCAACTTTATATTTTAACCGGATGAAGGACAGAGAAACTTTTTAAAGTGAAACTGCATTATTCACTGTTTTTTACCGGTTTTAATCACTGGGTTGTGCTTGTTTTGGAGAGAAGGACACCTTATGGATGATTTGAGTCCTTCCTGAACGACGGCCATTGAAGGAATCTTAACTGGACAAGCTGACAGCAATGAAGGCAATGCTGTTGAGAACAATAACTCCCATAATCCCACACAACGTCACCAAACTGTCTTTTGTCATGTTCTGATTGAAGGACACCCCTCATGTTGTTCTTTTAATAATGAAGTGAGTGGTGAATAGGAAGAGGTACAGGGCCTTGCTGGAAGATGGATACATGGCTCACATGACATTGCACCTGTGACCTGTATATATCTTTACATTACACAATACATAACATTTCCTGCTTTTTTGTTTACAAGTACTGACTTTTTTTTCCTGCTCTTCTAGGATTTCCCGTGTGATTCGCCAGCAGAGAGGCAATGCCCTGCTCGTGGGGGTGGGAGGTACAGGCAAGCAGTCACTCACTCGGTTGGCATCCCACATGTGCGGATACTGCTGCTTCGAGATCGAACTCAGCCGAGGCTACAACTATGACAGTTTCCATGAAGACTTGAGGAGGCTCTACAAGATGGCAGGTGTAGAGGGCAAGGATGTGGTGTTTCTCTTTACGGACACTCAGGTACGACGGGAGGACTTGGCTTATATGAAAATAATAAACATTTGGATCCCTGCAGATTGTTTTTTTGTTTTTGCACATCCACGGATGTTGTATACTTTCCTGTTGTAGACTGTGGTGGAGGAGTTTTTGGAGGATATCAACAACATGCTGAGCTCTGGCGAGGTGCCCAACCTCTTTGAGGAAGATGAGCTGGAACAAGTACTAGCGGCCACCCGCCCTGAAGCCAAAGAAGCTGGAATCAGTGAGGAGGACAGGGATGAGGTACACCCAGACACAAATGCTTACTGTCCAAAACATACATCATTCTGGCACTGTATATCTACAACATGTGCAAGCAGGCTATCATTTGGCCTGGCACAATAAGACAAAGGGTCCTTTTAGAGAGTTATGAATGAACTGATCTAAGACAATACCAGATATGCTCATCCAATGTTTAAGGTGTTCAGATCAAATAAAGAGATCATCAGTATTAAAAGCTGTCAGTAGCCAAAAGAAGATAATTAACATTAACATTTCAGAAACAACACACATACACAGTGTTTCCCTTCAGTCTGGCCTAGAGCAGTGAGTTAAAGTCAGTGCCCCTGAGGGAGCTGTAAGAAAACATCGGCCTTTAATGTTATCTGTCTGTTGAGACCAAACCTCTGGAAATTATGGAATTTCTGCATGTCTTTGTGTTGCCCTCAGCTGTTCCAGTATTTCCTCTCCCGTGTACGAGAGAGGCTGCACATCGTGCTGTGTATGAGTCCCGTGGGCGATGCCTTCAGGTCCCGATGTCGTATGTTTCCTTCACTGGTTAACTGCTGCACCATCGACTGGTTTGTGCAGGTATGTTGAGATGGTCACTTTGGTGAAGGTTGTGAAATGAAATATGATTAGGTAATTATTATGACTTTCATATTGCTGTTCTGTTGAATCAATGCGCAAATAAACAAAAGCTTAAATAAAAGATATATATATATATGTTAGTTCTGGCTGCAGTCCTGATCTAACTCTCTTTCCTCTTTCCACGTTGTTTTGTGTTGCTCAGTGGCCTCGTGAGGCACTTCTCTCTGTCTCTCAGGCCTTCTTCCAGGATGTGGATTTTGGCAGTGAGGAGCTGAAGCAGAGTGTCTCCGCCATGTGCGTGGAGACACATGTTAGTGTCACTGACATGGCTGAGTGCTTCTACTCAGAGCTGAGACGCCGATGCTACACCACACCTACATCCTACCTGGAGCTCATCAGCCTCTACCTGTCCATGCTGAAGGAGAAGAGACAGCAGTTAGTTATTGTAAGTGCAACCAGTCCAGTGCAATACAAGCAAGTATCAAGTGATCACTTGTCGTGATACATTTTTACTTGACTTTGAAGAGAACATAGCTCGTTGCTCTATCTTATCTTTTGTAGTAATTGTTCATTTTTCTCAGTGTTTAGCTTCTTAGTTGTTGTGGCACAGCATTTTCTTCTTATTTTTTGATCATATCTCCTTGTAAAATAGACATAATATGACTTCTGGGGTTTTTATGCATAGGCCAGGGATCGTGTGAAGAATGGTATGACCACACTGCTGGAGACCAATGAGCTTGTGGACAAAATGAAAGCAGACGTGTCTGCTCTGGAGCCAGTCCTTAAACTGAAATCCATGGATGTTGATGCCCTCATGATGAAACTGGCTGTAGACCAGGAGAGCGCTGACGAGGTCTGTATGTGTGCTTGCGTACGTATGTTTGTGTGAGAGAGACTTTCAAAAGTGTGTCTATTGTTTCCTATAAGGTGCTGAAAAAGCATGATTCCCTTTTCTCATTGCTGAGTGTATGTGTACGTATCATACACAAAATATCCATTCCATAGCTGCGTAAAGTAGTGACAGAGGATGAGGCTTTGGCCAAGGTTAAAGCTGAAGACACCCAGGCCATAGCCGATGATACCCAGAGGGACCTGGATGAGGCTATGCCAGCCCTGGAGGGCACCAATCAGGCCCTGAAGTCTCTCGACAGGGCCCACATCTCTGGGCTCAAGGAGTTCACCGAACCTCCAGACCTAGTCAGGACCGTCATGGAGGCCGTCTGCATCCTGCTCAGCTGCAAGTCAGTGTGCTTTTCTCTCACTTAAAGAAAGTTTCTTCCTCAAATATGTTTTATTGTCTGTGGAACTTATCATTACATTTCATTATTACAAACTTACTTCTCACTAATTATGTTACATCCTAATAGTGTATTTAAGATGAAAATACAGCTACATTAGGGATGGCAGGTGAGATTTGATAATAAAATCATAAGAGCATGGACCAGACATTAAAGGGATAGTTTGGATCTACGCACATAGATGATAGATGATAGATAGATGGCGGTCGCAACTCCCCCAGTTTGGAAAAACATGGGAGTGCAGTGATGTATTGCTGTGGACGGGGGAAGCAGCAACATTGATTTTAAACACCTAAAAGAAAAACCCACCTAAATAAATCAATATCAGTTTTAATGTTTGCTATATTAAGGAGTATTTTGTATTGCTCTGCCTTGTCGTCAGACAGCCCTTTAGAAGGGGAACTTGCTGGCTGCAGGTTTCCCGCTGCCTCCATCACTCAGTTTGTTTGTGTTATGCGTCTTCTGTGTTTTAAAGGGATGGTTCAGATACAGCCACACAACAACACAAACAAACTAGCCGATAGAGTTAGTAGTAAACCTGTAACTCATGTTCTGCTTGGTAAACATGTGTCAGTGGAGTTTGTGGCTTTGAAGAGAGCATAGATGGCTTCAGTTCCCCATCAGAAGATATTTAAACTCCATCTGAAAAAGGTGTCTAAATCTTTTGGAACAAAAGTGAATAGTTGTCTGCATACCCACTCCACTGTCAATCCAGGATCAGAAAGAAATAACATCAAACAGGTAGATGTATTCAACCCACTGCCTGTGTCCCAAAAAGATTGATCAGCATCCTGATTTCATCCCATAGATCATGATGATCAATGTTCTCTGTCACTCTACCATCTCATGACCCAGTATGCATCCCTCTGTCAATCCTTGCATGTCATCACTTATTAATCTGCTGAATTGCTGCACCAATCCAATCCTTCCCAATATCACATCTACTTTCACCTTTTAACGCCCGCAGCACAGCAGCACTATGTAGAACTCTCACTGACTCAGCACTACGACAAGTTACGTGAATATGATGGTGTAATATTTCTCCTACTTCGTTTCTTTTTGTCGTGTGTTCTGCTGTGACTCGTTCTGTTAAATGTGGCTTATAATCATAGCATGTACTGTATGTCAAAGTTGAATCCATACATTTTTGTTACAGTAGCATGACTTAAAGGAGTTTGCATTACAATCTGCTTTGGTTATTTGTGATTAGTGTTTCATTCTTATATCATTGTTAGCAATGACAGTTCCAGTTGGGTTTGCTAACTCGTGCACCAGACTCAAAATCAGTTTACATCATTTTGAACACGTGTATTTTGTCACCATGTAAATTAAGCCACACATGCACAAATATTAATTGTTATTATTTATTATCTGACGTCTGTCTCCTTACAGACCGGACTGGCTCAGTGCCCAGCAGTTGCTGGGAGATTCTAATTTCCTCAGGCGTCTCACAGACTATGATAAGGACAATATCGATCCTCAGATCCTCCTCAAGCTGCAAACGTACATCAACAACCCTGATTTCATACCTGAGAAGGTCTGTTTGGATTTCTTGACAAACACTTTGATAGAATTTTTGATGGAATACATTGTCAATAATTTATGGAACATAACACAGTATGCTTCAATATCTGCTACTTGGTGAGATTCCTTACTGTGTTACTGCCGTTAGGTGGAGAAGGTATCCGAAGCCTGCAGATCAATGTGCATGTGGGTCAGAGCCATGGATCTTTACTCCAGAGTCCTCAAAGAAGTAGGCCCCAAGAGGGAGAAGCTGGCTCAGGCGCAGGTCAGTAACAGTAACAGTAGAGTACAGTATGCACACAGGTTTCAATCATATTACAATTGAATGGAATGTGCTTTAATCTCAATGCTGCTTATTTTGTCAAGTCTATTACGATCAAAGCATTCTTCCACTAAACACCATTCTCTGTACTTTTACAATCTCATGGAGGACTTTCCTGCAGACATTGGACCCAATAATAATAATAAAAAATGGACAACATTCCTCTAAATAATCCATCAATGGTATTTTCCACCGTCCCTCTCTGCCTCTCTTCCTCTCTTCCTCTCTTCCAATCAATGCAGGGAGAGCTGGATGTGACGATGGCAACCCTGAGGGAGAAGCAGCAACACCTTCAGGAGGTGGAGAGCCGGATCAGAGTCCTGCAGGAGCAGTGTGACAGCAGCGATAATGAGATGGAGGATTCTGGTAAGTATAGTGTGCCACTTAAAAACACTCCCTGAGTTTTAAAGTGCCCAACCATTGTATATTTTAAATGGACTGATGTGTTAAGATCTCTAGAGATGGAGGACGTTCTACCAGGAAGTTCTCAACTTAGATATCTGTTCTCTCTCAGATGTTAAGGAGGTTTTATTACTATTTGATTTGAAGAAAATAAAGTCTGCCAGAATTTACCCTTTTAATTTTCTTTCATCTCTCTCTCTCCCCCCCCCCCCCCCTCTGTTTCCCCAAAGTTAACACCATGGCTCTGAATCAGGCTCGACTGACCAGATCAGGGAAGCTTACTTCTGCTCTCGGTGATGAGCAAGTACGCTGGGAACAAAGTGTTGCTCTGTTAGATCAAGAGATCATCAGCGTGGTGGGGAATGTCTTCGTTGCAGCTGCGTGTGTGGCCTACCATGGAGCGTTTACTTCCCACTACAGACAGCTGGTAGGTATAGTGTACGATATGATTAACCAAAGACAAAATGAATGCACTCATCCATGTGTGTGTGCCCCCTCTTCCCAGCTAATTGACCAGTGGATGATACAGTGCCAGACACTGAACATCCCCATCAGTTCCAGCTTCAGCCTGATCAACATTCTGGGAGATCCGCTTGTGATCCGCCAGTGGAACACAGAGGGTCTGCCTCGGGACACCGTCTCTACGGAGAACGGGATCCTGGCGACCGAGGGCCGCCGCTGGCCTCTCATGATCGACCCGCAGGATCAGGTGAACTACAGACTCATTCCGTGTGTTTCAGATCCATTTCTTATTAGTTGTGATTGGTCAATTAATCACTTTTAATATTTGTGTTCCATTTTCCATTAATCTATTTAAGTGTCACATATTGTGTCATGTTACTGTCATATAAACCCAATGGGTTGAAAAAACAAAAAGTGAATATTGTTTTATTCCACAAACGTCTTGGATCCCTCTGGATGTCTTGTGAAGTAACACTTTGATGACGTGGTTGCTGTACTAATGTAAAGAACCAGAGACCAAGTTACAGCTGACACACAGAATAGACACAAAGCAGCTCACTCGCACTGATAAACATGTACAGCTTACCGTTCGCTGTCTTCTTGGCCTTTGACAAGTGCAGCTTTCTCTCCCGTCCTTCCCTGTAACTCTATCGTTTGTTCTTTTTTAGTACAACTGCTCTTTCTCTCTTTAGGGTCTGATGGATATTCAAGTTGTCTGAATGTGCCTAACAGATAGATTACACATTCACACAACATTGAGCTCGATCACATACTGTGTGATGTTTTCATCCCGCTGCGCTACCATTGCTACAGTCTCTCTTTGTCACATTAAGTGCTACCATTTATTCTTATTATATACACACCGTGTAAACAGGCCATCTTTTTGTCACAGTAAATGAGGGTTATTTCTTTCACTCTCAGGCCAACCGATGGATCCGCTCTAAGGAGGCGAAGCATGGTCTGAAGGTCATCAGGCAGACAGACCCGAGCTTTCTCCGTACCCTAGAGAATGCCATGAGCATAGGCATGCCTGTGCTGCTAGAAGAGGTAGGAACACAGATAATAGCACACATCATTTAATTGAACTGCCCATTTACCTCCATTGATTAAACATAGATTGAACTTTGAGACCCATATTGGACATTCTTGTTCATTAAAGTTGTATCAGTGTGTGCACATTCCTGCATTCTCATATTGTGTGTGAATAGTTAACAGAGACTCTCGATCCAGCTCTGGAGCCCGTCCTGCTCAAGCAGACATTTGCTGCTGGTGAACGGACACTGATCCGACTCGGAGATTCAGATATTAACTATGACGACAACTTCAGGTTCTATATGACCACCAAGATGGCCAACCCACACTACCTACCAGAGGTCAGGACAGCACACACACTCCTCTAAATCTCCACATTAGTTTCATCTGGTAGCAGTTGTGCATCAGAGACGCAATGAACGTTCACTAGTCTTGGATTAGACTCTTACTAACACACCTTTGCTGTTTGCCTCAAGATCTTTCTACAAAAGAAATTCCAAGCATTTTACAGCTCTGGCACCGAGCTGTTTGTAGGCTGGCAGAAATACGTTGCATGTTGTGGACTAAGAGAACAGTGATACAAAGAACCTTTGTGTCTGCGTACAATTATATTATTGACTGTGGGCAGTTTGTAGGCATTGTCGGGATTTAGTCGCCACTATTTAGACAACATGGACCCATTCACCAGGTTTCTGTCGTTGTTTTGTTGTCAAATACATGAAAGATTTCAAGTGACTTGGCAGTTAAGATATTTTTCCAAATGAATTGTTGTTTATGGCACATTTAGAACGGTGGCTGTTAGAACTGGCCATTTCCTCTGTGTGTGTGTGTGTGTGTGTGTGTGTGTGTGTGTGTGTGTGTGTGTG